TTAAGAGAATGATTTTGTTCTTAATAAACACATACTGAATTAGATATGGGTCTATAATAATCCAGTGATATCTGCAACTAGTTTTCAGATGGTTCAGAAAAAAATATGTGTGAGCATACATGTGTAAAGAGAAAAATAAAGGAAATTTGGCAACATTTTAATGAATCCAGTAAACGGTGTATTCATTGTTTTATTCCTGCAACTGTTCTGGAAGTCTGACATTTTTTCAAAATAAAAATTGGGAGAAAAGTCAACTCTCCCCTCATACACACCCACAGTGAAAAACTATTAAAACCAGAAGACTAGCAAAAATTAAAAAGTTTAACAATACCGCGTTTTGCCCCAAGAGAATAAGTTGGAACAACCACTTTGGAAAACTACTTGGCATTATGTAGTAAAACTAATGCCATAAAGATTCGATGAACCAGGGTCGTAACGCTGAGATTGGTTAGTTTTGCCCATCCTGCTAGGTTTAAAACAAGCCATCTCAGAAGTAGGAACAGATGATTCCATGACCATGAAGAAAGACAAGCACGAGCTCCCTACTTGGAAAAGCAGTGACAGCAAAGTTGGTGGCAGAGACAAGCAGCATGGAAAGACAGAGCAGCTGCAGGCTTCTAGGCCCATGGACCATGTAACACTGAGGCAGAAGTATAAAACTGGCTTGCAGAAGGTGCCTTGAGCAGGGCAGAGGCCACATAGCTGAGCAGCCGAAGACAAGAGTGAGCTGTATCTGCAATAGGGCAGAGAAGAGGCATTCCTGACTGGACACTGCTGCATCCTGAGTTGTTTCTGATCCTGAATTTGTACCCTGTTCACTTTCCTAATGGAGTCCTGGTGTGGCGCAGTAGAATAAGCAATGGACCGCTAATCATGAGGCTGGTTCAAACCCGCCAGTGCTCCTTGGAAATCTTCTACAGGGTCACTATGAATTAGGAATGACTTGACTACAATGAACACTTCTTGAATAAACCCCCAGAATCATGAGTATTGTTATGAGTTCTGTGTGACCACTGCACCACTACAATGGATTATCTATGACAGATTTTAAGCAGGAAGTGCTATGGGAGAGACAGTGGTTGTCACAGTAGAGTAAAGACAGTTGTAGGGTGGAGGCATGTCTGACCTCCATGTCATAGGAATCCAACTTGAACTGGTTTTGAGTTTGATTCTTCCTCCCCCTTGTGAAACCAGAGGAAGTCAAGCAGGGTCTCTGAGCAGTTTTTGCATATACCTACATGAGGGCTTCAAAAAATTCATGGAAAATTCCATTATTATTACTTTTAAACTTTTATTGTGACTTGAGTACATGGGAGAACATGTATTTTTTGCACTCATTCTATCATATTTCGTTTCATTGCAATGACTACAGTCCCCTCCGTGCATCATCATTCAACAGTATTTGCTTCTATTCCCTCTGGTATTTTTTGTTTTTGTTTTGGATGTACACAAAAACACTCAGGAATATAACATCATTTAAACAACCAAAGGGCACATTCTGCAAGCCTGTCTCCTGGCCACCAGCACACAGCCTTTCTCTTTCCGTAGTCTAGAGACCTCAGCTGCTCTATCTCTCCACGTCGTCATCTCTGCTTCCATTTCTGGTGTCTCTGCTTCTCTGGTTAGAGTTCCACACGCCATTCATGCTCTTCTTCTTTGATGGTCCTAGACTCCTTGGTTCATGGAATGTAAGATTAATTACTACCCCCTTTTTGTTACAAAACTTTTACCTTTACAGTTGTAACAATCCCATTTCATCATGATAACAATTACTCACTACTGAATCATAAGAATCGTATCCCTGTATCTCCTTTCACCAGGCACATCTGTTGTTGTTGTTGTTGTCAGGTGCCATCGAGTCAGAACCGACTCATAGCGACCCCATGCACAGCAGAACGAAACAATGTCCGATCCTGGGCCAACCTCACTACTGCTGCCACACTTGAGTCCATCAATGATGCCACCTGGCCGATCCATCTCGTTGGGGGTCTTCCTCTTTTTCTCTGATCCTCCACCCTACCCAGCATGACATCCTTCTCCAACGATCGTGTCCTCCGGACAATATGTCCAAAAGACACATCTAGACATGATGAAAACTATTCGAGGGGATTCTACCTTCCCACCACACACTCTGAAACTAAACTCCCTCTTGAAAACTTGCAAGCCAGCCACTTCATGCCTTTATAGCAACACCTCCCACCCCCATTTTAGGTAGCCAATATCTAAATTGCCTGTCCCTATCAACCCTGTATACCCAAGGAATAGGCTTAATCCTTGATGTGAAGGCTCCTTCCCTCTCGGTTGGTATTTTGAGCTACTACATCCATAAGTATAGGTCAAGTTTATCAAATTGTAGTTCCTTTGTCAAATTGCTTTATCTTCCTCTAGTTAAGCTTTGGTCATCAAGCCATCAAAGCTAGTTCAGATGAGTACTATCTGCAAGTTTGGGCGTTCTTGTACATCACCCTACTTCATATCAGCTGGACACTTCACTCTCAGCTCTAGCCCTCCGTGGCTAGGTCAATGTCCGTGGGCTCAGGAGTACCTAAGTCTCCCCAAACTTCAGACCAAGCAGTCCTTCCTCTTCTCTTTCTCATCTCCAGGTTGCCAGGGGTCTATGGAACGTGGTCAAACTCAACTCTTATTTTCATTGCTGACTTCCCCCCGCCCCCTTCCACTCACAAGTAGACCAACATGGTCGCCAGCAAGCTTACATGCCTACTCATGTGTTCCCTTTGAATTTCAGTCTTGGAGGGGGTTTGTCCTGAAGGGGACTTATTGCTTGCTTTGATTGTTCCCTGTCGAACAGTTTGCTTGTTCTTGTAATAGCCAAACAGACTGCCATTTTTGTTTTTTATTTTGTTTTTTCCTGCTGGTATTTCTTTCAGGAAGTATCTTCTGTTCCTCTAGCCACTCCAGGCTAGTCTGCATGTCCTTACAAGTGGGACTGTCCCATCTCAGAAGGTTCTGGATGTCCATTATTTTTCTACTCCATTTTTCTATGAAGTTTTTGAAGGCCTCACCTATATTAAACACTCACTTTTGCAAACAAACAAACCTTAGACCATACGCTGATGACAGTATTTCTGGACACATCTATCTTTCTCTGCACTATTGTAACAAAGAGCTTGTTTTGGCTGAAGCAGATAAATTGCTTTTAAGGAACCAATGATGATGACAGAACTGAATAAGCACCTCATCCAAGCATTACTGGTAGAAGACTCAGTATAAATGTTGTTATGTGCCGTGGAGTTGGTTCAAACTCACAGCGACCCTGTACAGGGTTTCCGAGGCTGTAAATCTTTACGGGAGCCTCAGCTTTCTCCCGCGGAACAGCTGGTAGTTTTGAACTACTGACCTTGAGGTTAGCAGCCCGATTCAGGATTAATTCCTAAAAAGGTGAAGGGAGGTGGCAAAGCAACAAAATGCTGGAAATTTGTTTAGGTCCTTGAAAGTAATATAGGCCCCCGGGAAAGAATATAATTGAGAGCTTGGCGGTGGTGGTGGTTATCTGCCGTGGAGTCGGTTCCGACTCATAGCGACCCTGTATAGGATATCTAAGGCTGTAAATATTTATGGGAGCTGAAAGCCTCATCTTTCTCCCATGGAACCGCTGGTAGTTTCGAACTGCTGACCTTGAGATTAGCAGCCTGACTTATAACCACTACCCTACCAGAGCTCCTTGATTAAGAACTTAGCTATTATTATACCATTTCAGGTCCTGCCTCAAATACAATGACCACAAATGTCTTTTAACTATTTACAACCAAAGGCATGTTTATGTTTCATCATTATGGTACAAAGACTGTGAACTAGATTGTACCTAATTAAGCCTGACAACAAAAGCTTGACTTGAAAATTAATTTCTAAACAAGCTAGCAAACAAAAAGTATCTCCTTTTCAAAGCACCTGCTAATTCTCTTCAAAGAGAGAAGTTTTTATCCAAAAATCTTAAATTTTTTCTGTGCCTTTCTGATGGCACATACCATCTTTTTCTTTGTATATTGGTTGTGCTCTTTCCTCATATCCCTTACTAGATTAGGAATTATTTGATATACCATGTACAAAATAGGCTCAGCACCAGAGCCCAAAAAGATTACTACTGTTACAGGGTAGCTTAAATCTTTGCTCTCATTAAAAAACCACCTGAAGCCACAAAACTCAGCAAGAGGGAAAAGAGGAAAATAACTTAAGAAAACACAAAGGCACCTCACTATCAAACAATTTTTAAATTTAAGTATATCTAATCTTGAATTAATAGACCTTCTGCTCTTATGTATTTAGTGGTGCTGTAGATTAGTGTACTGAACTGCAAAGTCACATTGAACCGCAAGGTCAGCAGTTCAAGCTCATCAGCTGCTTCTAGGAAACCCTATCCAGGGTCACTATGGGTCAGAACCGACTTGACGGCACTTAACAACAACGTGTTTAAATGCAGGCAGTCAGTCCCCAGGGTTACTAATGAGATCACTTCCTAAGTGTGTCTTTAAGATTTTGTAGGTAAGTCAGAACAGATGCATATGGTTCTTATTTGGCCTTTAGTGTAAACTATAAAGCCCTCGTGGTATAGCGGTTAAAGTGCTCAGCTGTGAACTGAAAAGTTGGTGGTTTGAACCCACAAGCCATTTCGTGGGAGAAAGTTGGCTGTCATAAACATTTCCAGCCTTGGAAATCCAATGGGGCAGTTCTGCTTTGTCTTACTGGTTCTCTATGAGTTGGAATCAACTCAATGGCAGTGGGTGAGTTAGAGAAAAAAAAAAAAAGGCACAAAACCCTTGAAATGACTTAAAATTTCCAAGTGTAACAAGTGAAATGATTGTGAAGAATAACTTGTTGTAAGTAAGGGTTGATTCAATCCTTTCAAACTGAGGGCAAGTAGGTAAGTTGGACATTTGGAACACAGGACTGCCTGGAGTCAACATCTGTAACTTTGTATTGAGAGCAGACAGATGTCAGGGGAACTACGTTCTGAGAGTATATAAATAGAACACTTCATATTATCAATAATTCTAAAAAGGGCAAGGGCATAAAAGACTAGAAAAAGAAATGCCAACCAACTACGAGCTACTTAGAATCTTACCATCCTACTCCCAGAAAACTAACATATAAATTTTAGTAGTTTCAATACCTAATGTTTTCAAATTACCACAAAATGCTGGTCTGTTTAATTTGCATTCATACCACAGTCCAGTTACCTCTGCACTGGACTGAATTCTCAGAGCAGTTACAAACAGTTGTTTGCAAGCAAGAGCTTCCCTTGGCACTCCTTTTTTGCCTCTGGTGTGTGTGTATCTGCAATCAACACCACAGTAAGCTCTCAGAGGAGGGTGATCTACTCTTACTTTCCGTGTTGCTTTCTAGGACAATATATAGTTTTCCTGACATCGATTTCCTTTCCCACACAAAATTCAGTGCACACTTGTTAAGGAATTTTCTAAACAGGAAAGAAAGGTTCCAAAGAAAATGTCAGAGAAATGAAAAAAAAAAAAGTACACATGTTTATTCTTTAAAAGGGATTGCCAAAGGACACTTGATATAGCTATAGAACTTCCTACTCAAGAGACAGTTTAAACAGGCTCAACAGACTAATTCCTTTGGAAACCACCCATATACAAATTAGTCTTAAGATCTCCTTGAAAGATTATTTAGGTAAACAATGAGGAAAGCCTATGATTTATTCTATAATGCTACTTCCAAAGTCCATTTCAAAATTCGAGATTTTATTTTTGAGATAGTTACTTACATATATGAAGAAGAAAGATGAGATTATCTATTCCTGTAAAGATTTATAGACTTGGGAACCCTATACAGGGTCGGTATGACTCAGAACCAACTCGACAACACAAAAACACCACTTACATATATATATATATATTTTTTTTTTAAAGATTTTCATTTGAAATGATTTGGAGTCAAAATGAACTTTCTTCAATCTATAATGTAAGAGGAATCTGTTAATACAAGAAACCTAATTCTTTTTTCTTCTTGTTGTTGTTAAGTGTCATCAAGTTGGTTCCTACTTATAGTGACCCTGTATAGGGTGGGTTTCCAAGGAGAGATGGTGAATCTGAACCGCTGACCCTGGGGTTCAAACCAACCTTTTGGTCTAGTGTTTATGCTACAGTGCCACACCAGTACTCCAATTCTTTCTTAGCTGGCTGTATATTCTCCAAGTGCTTAGAAGATATATAATGCCTTGTTCTGTACACACTCTTCTTATTAAGGAAGGGGAGAATGTTCCAGCAAAAAATGAACAACATGCTAATCAGTATTGTGGCTGCTAGAAGAGATGAAAGAATTAAGCAACCCACTCTCTCTGCTACTCAGTCACCAGACAGGACAAAGAAGGTGGTGTGTGGCTGGCCCCAACACACCATGACTCATGTTCATAGCTGGGTTGAGCAGACTACTGACACAGCATTGCTAAAGAATACAGAGCTTATGGCAGGTGGAAGGGCTCAAAAATGATTTGTCTTTTACCTAGGAGCATAATATATTCCCTTTGAATTAAGTTTTTATAAAACTACATTTTAAACAGATTATAAGTACAATAGAAAGGAAATTGTGGTCTAAGGCTACGGTGGAATATAGTTTGTGATCACATATTCACTCCAGCTGATAATAATCAAATGTTCAGAAGTTCTACCATGTGTTCAGTAAAGGTCAACAGAAAATGTGAACTGGAGGCATAATTAAAACCAAAAGTAAGATGAAACACAGTTAGCAAATATCATGCAAAACCCAAGAGAAACCACACAGTTAATTAAAAGATAAGAAAAAAGATGCTTCTTACCTTTTGAAAGTTCTTCCACAAATCTTCTATGACTATGTATCCTTGCAAACCCCATTCATATAATATTCCCCCGCTGACCTTGAAACAAAATATAAAAGATCAATTGTTATTCAATATATGAGTGGTGGTGTTGTTAAGTACTGTTGAGTCACTTCTGACTCATAATGACCCTGTATAGGGTTTCTGATGGTTCAAGTTGGTGAGCTCAAACTGCCAACTTTGCAGTCCAGCACATTAACCCACAGCACCACACCAGGACTCCATATGAGTGGTAAGGAAGATAATTTTGTGTTTTCTTATTTCCTGTTTCAAAAAAAAAAAATGTCTTTAACAATATAACTACTGTAGTAAGCCTTGGGACAGACATTAAAACTGTACAAGATATGTAAATAAAAAGACAGGAAGAGTGACCAAGGAAGAAGAAAAAAAGAGTCTAGTTGTTTAGAGTTATAAATCACAATCATTTGCTATGAATTATAAGCATGTGCTCCAAGCTTTCAAAATTTCAACTGAAAAAATAAGTAGGCAACCAGTGCTGATGGAAAAAAATCTGACACAGAAGACTTCTATCTGCCACATCTAGTACCCCTGTCTTGCATATAACAGTCAGTGAATTCCTATTTGCTAGGATGAAAAGCAAACATTCATTTTAGGGGTTTAGATTAAAAATGATAGGTGAACCCAATGAATATGCTCCCTATTCTCCACCCACCCAAACAGAAAGTCTTTGAGATCCTTTAGGGATTTGGAAGGTAACTTAATTCAGAACTCCTTCTATAATATCCTAAGAGGTAGGACCCAGGGTCAGGCAGTATTTCTAGGTCAGGAAGCTTATCACCTTAAAATGTGCTAGCTTGCCTTCAACTAGCTGGCTTTCATTGTTGGAAATGTTATCACAAATATATTTTTAAAGCGTTGAACTTAAAACAAATGCCTTCCAGTATTATGTAGTATTTATGACAATTTAACTGTTCTTGTTGTTGCCTATAGTCAAGTCAGTGGGAGAATTCTACTACTGAACCACAACTGCCCCTTTTCAATGTAACAATACTTCAAAAGTCTGAAAGCGGTTCTTATTCTCTTCCTACTTTTTGTAATTTGTCTTTGAGGTGCATTTTTGTTTACAAAGTACCTTCACATAAATTATCTCTCCTCTGCAGAACAACATGTGGAGGTAGGTAGGCAAAGATTATAAGGAACCATTTGAAGGTCAAGTGACTTGTCTAAGATCACATTGCTAGTAAGATCAATCGTCTTTGCTATATGATGGGGCTTCAAAAAGTTTGTGGAAAATGGAATGAAAAGATAACAGAATTTTTCCACACTTTTTGAAGTGTCCTTGTATGTGGATTTCTAACAACTTTTATTTTTCTGGTTGTTCCAGTTTTCTTAAAATACATGATTCTCAGACCTATCAGCAGAGTATATGCACTGTTCTCACTGTTTTACATTAACAAGTAGGAAATAACATTGTTGCTTTAAGGGTTTTCTTACAGTACTTTCATGTAAACACTACCAAACAGAAAACAGAACATAAGCAATTAAGTGATTTGTCCAAGGTCACATTGTTCATAAAAAAGAAAACTGAAGTTGTGAAGCAGGAATTACATCACACTTAAAACAATATTGGGAGGAACAAACAAGATGGCGGATCGGGTGGAAGTGTAGTAAAGGAGCTCCGCCGACAACAACACAGAATACCCGACCAAGCAGGCTCAGGGGATGGTCCCAGAACTCTGAACCACGTATAAAGGAATACTTAGAAGGTTGGAAGGTTTACAGCTAGGGGAATTTGTAGCAGAAGCAAGAAATCCATTGCTTTCTAGTCCGGGACACTCAGCTGCTCCAGGAGCTGCCATCTTGCGTGAGACCAAGCGGGGGGAAGGATTGGAGCAGCCACAGAAGTCTGCCAGAACCACAGAGATAAAGGTGTGGACATTCTTTTCTTTTGGTAGCTGTCGATTGGTCCCTTGCTGTCTGCGTACCTCTATTCTGGTGACTATAGGGGTGCCTGAGCTAGTGGGCACCTCAGCCCTACCCTCTGAGGGTTCTACTACGCATGCTCAGAGATCTCCTCGAAATTTAAAGAGACAGTCTCCAATTAAAACCAAATGGCCACAGCCGGCC